GATTCCGATCAAGTGGCAATTTTAGTTTTTGCTGGGCTAGCTATGTAGTTGGTGAAGCAGGTTTGGAGGGGGTAGGGTTTGGGGGTAGTTGGCATGCAGCTTCGAGGAGGGCAGGATGTTAGATGACCACAGGAGGAGGATGTCTGGCAGGGTGCAAAAGGTGAAAGAAAGGTTGCCTTGGTAACCGTGCCTTGTGGCTAGCCTAAAGGTTCTGTTTAGCCTCTGGGGTTGAGCATGAGAGGGGAGGTTTGTTTCTTGTTAAGGGCAACTACAAGGTTTCTAGGAACTGGCTGTATAACTGTTCTAATCAGCTTGGTCCTGTGGCCAGAAGTCCTGTATGTCCTAGGTGGCAATCTGAGACTGGCTCCCAACACCCTCTGGCATTTTGTCCCAGTGCCTGCCCCTGCCTGCTTCCCTAGAGCTCTGAACATGGGGCCCCGTCCCACATGCTTTACACACAGAGGACAGACAGCCAGTCCAGCCCCGGGCCTGCTTCACGCCATCTGGAATCATTTCCCCCGCCTCACTGGTCTGGAGGCTAATCGAAGAGAGGAAAGAATGTGGGGCGACACTAGCTTTTGATGCGAGGTAGGCAGAAGTGGACGGATAGCCCTCTCGTGGCCACAGAGGGGGCTCAGGGTAGTGGCACTTGCTGCCAGGCCTGACAGTATCTGAGTTCAATCCCTGGGACCCACATGGTGGAAGATAAGGGCCAACTCCCGAAAGCTGCCCTCTGACCTCGACGGGAGGGCGGTGGCCTGCTCACCGTGTTGTGCATGCATAAACGGCATAAAACAGATAAGTAAATGTTTTCCAGGAAGAGCGTCTCACATCTCCTAAGAGTCGAGTACAAAGCACGCACATATCCACAAAGCACTCACGAGGACCCAGCATGTGTGTCAGCCCCTACTGTACTCCAGACACTCTGATGTCTTCATGGAACCCAAGTCAGGGAAGGGCGGCAGAAGCTACCAGACCTGAGGTGCCATGCTCTTAGGATCAAGTTCAGTGTCCCTGACTGCACTCACAACCACTGCCTCCCTGTGCTACTCTGCCCAGGCTCTCAGGGTCCTAAAAGTTGCTGCTAGGCAGGGCCTGGAGGGCAGAGATGGAAACTGTACCGCATTTGGCAGAGTGCAATCTCAGACATGTTTAACACAAAATGTCTTCAGAAACAGAGGCCAGGAAAAGATCACTGTTTCCTGGCATTGGAGAATTGCAGGGTCAGAATGCTCCCTGGACCCACCCCTTGGTGGTGGATGTTGAAATTATGATACTCGTGGGGAAGGACTCCAGGGTCCTTTCAGACATCAAGCCCTGAGGATACAGAAGTCTGTCCAGTAACATGGCATGGTATTTGCAGAAAGCCCTGCACGGGCCTCTGTATGATCCTGCCCAACCCTCCTGTGAATTACAGCGCTTAATACAATATAAACGATATGCAAATAGGTAGTAATTGATGGTAACAGGAAACATCTGTATGTGTCCAATAGCAATGCAGTACTTTCCCGAGCCACATGGAAAAATGGTGGTTTGAGACAGCATGGTGTTGTGGAGCCTGGCCGGCTTTAACCGCTTCATCCTCTGGGCTCAGCCTCCTGAGGGCTGGGATTATGGGAATGCATCTCCCTGCCAATCCAATATTGTATTTTGTGGTTGGTTGATCCACAGCTGGGGAACCCCAGATGTGGCCGGCTGGCTGTAGCATGTGTGTATGAACCACTGTAGCATAAGCTGATAAAGATAAGGATTAATCCAGAGGGCAATTTGATACCCTGTGTCTCTCAGAGAAGTTCCTCCCTGCAGTGGATAGCGGTTAACTCAGGACTCAAGCTAGTCCCAGTGAAGAGCGTAGGTGACTGTGGGGGGCTCAGGACATCTATGTCATGCCTCCTCCCTGGGGCTCAGGACAGGTTTTCCCACCAAATGCGTGGGCTAATTGTGTGAGTATTCATGTATGTGTGCACACCTTTGTGCACGGGTGTGCGTGTGGAGGCCTTGTGAGGATCTCCTTCAGTCACCTTCCAGACAGTGTTTCCCACTGAACCTGGCTGGCTGGCTGGCAAGGCTCAGGGTCCTCCTGGCTCCTCCTCCCCAGCTGGGATTATAGGCACGGTGGCTTTTTACTATGTGTGCTGAGGACCAAGCGCAGGCCTCATTCTAGCACGGCAGTCACCGCACCAACTGAGCCTTCTACCCAATTTTTATCTCTTTAAAAAATTATTTCGCTGCCCTGGCGTGATTCCATCCTGTGTGTCTGTTCTGAGGAGCAGCAGGCGGTTTCCTCTGTCCGACTTCTCTCACGCTGAAGTGCGCGCCCCCACCCCATGGAAGACTCGATGGACATGGACGTGGGCCCTCGTAGGCCACAGAACTACCTTTTCGGTTGTGAGCTGAAATCTGACAAAGATCATCACTTTAAGGTGGGTAGTGACGAGAATGAACACCAGTTGTCAGGAAGAGCGGTTAGTTTAAGGGCAGGGACAAAAGATGAATCACA